CTGAAGCTGAGATGGGTGGTAACCCGACCACACATCGCGCTAAATGAGTGGAGCGAAAAGCGATCTCTCGCGCATGTGTGGAACTGAGAGCAAGGACTCTGAGGAAAGGGGCCCAGCCCACAGCGCGTTTTCTGAAACGTGTGGGTCGTTTAAGTCCAGTTAAAGCCGAGGTGGGGCATTTCCTAAGACGCATGCGTCCTAGACCCCGCAAGCGGTACAGTGGCGTGGTCTTTTCAACGCCCAGCGTACAAACGACGTCTGAGGTGGAAGGGGCGTTTAAGATTCTCAACACGCATGCGTTTTGAAACCGAGGCGTTTCCTTCAGAGGGTGTGGAGTGCAGGGCTCCTTATTGCGCAGGCGCGAATACAGTCGGGTAGGGCGGGTGGTTTATCTAGGGGAGGGAGGAGGAGGTTGAAGGGATTAAAAAACCGGGTGCGCCTGCGCGTTGCTGACAGGTTGGAGGGGTTCAGGTTTTGTGAGGGGCGGGGTCACGTCTGCGCGTCATTGGATGGGTAGGTGGGACAGAGGGTGGAGATCGGGGAGGGTCTTTGCGCTTGCGCAGTGCGGGGGTGGAGGGCGGAGGAGCCGGAGAGCACGCTTGCGCGGCTGTCATAGGGCTGCTTGGTTGGTCAGTGGGGAGTCGGCGCCTGCGTACTAAGACCCGTGTGCAGCAGCGGCGGCGGCGGTAGAGGCGGCGGCGGCGGCGGTAGCGGGCTCGGAGGCAGCGGTTGGGCTCGCGGCGAGCGGACGGGGTCGAGTCATTGCGTTCGCGCGAGGTGAGAGCGGGCAGGACGCGCCTGCGCGGAACCTCTGCTTCAGCAGGGAAGGAGAGATGGAACTATACGGGGGTCGGGGAGGGGGCTGAAGGGAGCGGCGGCCACCACCGCATGGGTTTGGTCGGGGAGCGGCGCGAGGTATGGAGAGGCGCGGGCGCGCGGCCCGGTTGGCGCGCGGGGTGACGGTTGGGGCCGGCCGGGTGACGTTGGAGCGACGCAGGGCGGGGGACGGCGAGCCGCGAGGCCGCCACGCGGGAGAGGCCGCCAGGCGGCTGCTCCGGGGAGAGGGCCGGGGGCCAGATCAGCCCCGTCGGGTCAAGGGTCCCAGGGTCGTTGAGGACCGGGCACCGCGCGGCCACGTGAGGTGGGGGAGGGGGCTGTTCCGTGAGAGCGCATGTGAAGGGGGGGTTGGCGGCTGGCGGGGGGAGGGGAGGCAGCGAGTCGCCGGCCTGGCGCAGCGTTTGGGGAGGGGGCACTCGCGGCACCGGAAGTGCCCCCCCATGGCAAGCTGCCCTCGGGGTCGGAGGCCGCATGGCCGAATGTGGACCGGGTCCGCATGGCAGCGCGGGGACCCCTCCCCCCAGGTCCCGGCCACCGGAAGCCCCGGGCGGCCACATGGTGGGCGGGAGCCGGCAACCCCCGGCGCAGGGAGAGCTCGTCCTCCCGGGCGTCAGAGGGAACCTGGAATTTTGGATAGTGGGAGAACCTTAAAGACTAGTTTTGGATCACCCCGGAGGGCCAGCTGCAGGCATATGTTAGCGTTCCTCAGCCTCATGGGCGCCTGGAGCTTTTCTCCCAGTCTTCACGTGAAGTGAGGCGGTCAGCCAGGTGTAAGTGGCACTCTTACAACTGCGAGACCCGGAGAAATTGGGAAACTAAGAGCGATTGGACATGAGTTCTCCTCTCTAGGCACGTGCCGACAGCGCCTTAAAGTCCGGGACAGATGAGTTCCCCACCATGATATGCTGTCTTCACTTTGTCACTAATAGTCTTTCTCGTGTCTAGTTTTGGGAGTAACTTGGTTTTAGAGTTCCTAATTCTCGGCCTAGTGTGATTTTTACTACTCGCTACTACCAACCCTTCGCTTTCATTTTATTGTCATTCACCACCCCCTACTCTCTCACTTTCTGACTGCACAGGACGGGCCTAAAAAGTCGACAGCACCGATGCATCCTGGGAAAAGTGGGCGGGCCCTCGAGGAGAGGCTGGGTTCCCTTTGGGAACTGAGATCGAGGTGTTTGGCAGGGGGATGGTTTAGGAAACTACTTTCACCCCCTTGACTGCAAGTGCATGTTGGAGAGGCGGGAATCCCCCAAAGAGGCCTTGTGGTTTCCTGTACCAGTGACTGGCTTGTGTGTGGATAGGGGTGGGGGGGGGTGTAACAGCCGGGTGGGGCCTTGTCCTCCGGTTTCCACCCTCCCCCTACACACATTAGCCCCACCCTTTTGCTGGCTCATAGCTGCTCACCTAATTATAGCTCTGGCTAAGTGTGGGGAAGAGGGGTGGTTGGTTTCAGTGGCAAGTAACACCTGAGTCCTCCCCACCCCAGGAAGTAGGACTTAAGTCCCTGGATCTTTCCTTTCCCAGGTACCACTTGAACTTTAATTTGGGGGAGGATCCTGCTATTCCACCGTTACTTACACACACCAGTTCTCCAGTGTATTTGACCCCAGTCAGTAGTTCAAGAATTTTGACTTTTATTATAGGTGGATAGTGGAATAAGGGGTTGGGGAAAACAGCAGTGTTTCCAGAGAGAAATGGAATAGATTAGAGGTCCTGTTAACTTCTATCTTTACTGACCCCAGTTCTCTTCTTGGCTTTAGTTGGAATCGAAGCCTCTTAAAATGGCAGATGATTTGGACTTCGAGACAGGAGATGCAGGGGCCTCAGCCACCTTCCCAATGCAGTGCTCAGCATTACGTAAGAATGGCTTTGTGGTGCTCAAAGGCCGGCCTTGTAAGATCGTCGAGATGTCTACTTCGAAGACTGGCAAGCATGGCCATGCCAAGGTTAGACTTTCACATGTTACCTTCCCCACACCTCATATATACATAGGGCTTCTGGCAGCAAGCTGCCTTCAGTCCTGACCCCTGCCTGCCTTTAGTTGTGTGTGGGGTTTTTGGGGGTTTTTTTTTGTTTGTTTGTTGTCTTAGTCCTTTTGTTTAGCACTCAGCCCTTATACCCATTCAGACTACACCTGCTCCCAGCCTTCAGCCTCCTTTTGTACCCCCATCATTGTCTGGTAGTCCTTTTTCTCCATCTTTGTGCCAGTCTCTTGACATTTCTTCATGGTCCTTTGACTTTTCTTCAGTCCTTTATGCTCTGGCTGTTCAGCTGTTTCTTCCTTGGTCTTGGCATTCACTTTTTTTGTTTCTTCCTTGGGCTTTTGTTAGGTACTGTTTACATCACTATGCTTGGTGAATTTCTCTGGTCCTAACACAGACTGTAGCATTCCCTTGAAAGGCTCCAGTGTGCTTGAATTTTCAAACTTCTGCTTTTCAACTGCTTCTTTCTGCAGTTCTACCTTTCCCTTTGGAATTCTGATGCAGTCTCCATTTCCCTCTACCTGCCCATGCCCACTCCTTGAATTCCTTGAGCCTCCCTGTTTTCTCTGGTCTTAGTGTTCTCACTAGTGCTTCCCTTGTCACCTCAGAGTTTTTCTTTTTCCTCAGAAATTAAACCTGATTCATTCTTGTTGAATTTCTTGTGGTTTTATTGACTTGACATTGATCCTGCTAATGCGTAGCTCTTTCTCTAGTTTTCTTACTCCCTAACTATACGTAGTTCTTTTTGATCTTGAAGTTTGTTTTTCCCCAATTCTTTTAACAGACTTTTTTCCCCCTTCTACCTTATTCTCAAAATTCTCAGCCCCTTACATGGGTGTCCAGAAACTCTTCCAGACTTTTGCCAAGGATTCCTCCCTCTGCTCCTAACATTCTCTGTCAGTGTTTTCTGATAAGGTAATGGACTTCCCTACACCTGCTCTACCACCTTGACCTGTGGTGGTCTTTTAGCCTCAGAATTTGTTTTTTGTTTTTGGCTTTAGTATTTCTTGGTTCATTTCCAACTTTGCTTGTCTTTGCCCTAACAAGGTAGACTGACTTCCTTCATCAGCTAGTAACTACATGAGCCTTTATCTCCTCCGTCCTAGAGTTGGTTGGGTTTCTCTTTGTGATGCATATACACAGGTCCACCTGGTTGGTATTGACATCTTTACTGGGAAGAAATATGAAGATATCTGCCCGTCAACTCATAATATGGATGTTCCCAACATCAAAAGGAATGACTTCCAGGTATGTAGGTGTACAGGATGAGGATGGGTTAGTGGTTCGTGGGTGCAAAATACAGATTGACCAGAAGTTGTGGGAGAGGAGGGAGAGAGGGTATTTGATATTTTGCTCTTGTTCCAAATTGTTCATCAGACCCTTTATCCTCAGCCTACCTGGGCCTGTCTTCAACTTCCTTCTCTGTTTGCCCCCAGCTGATTGGCATCCAGGATGGGTACCTATCACTGCTCCAGGACAGTGGGGAGGTGCGAGAGGACCTTCGTCTGCCCGAGGGAGACCTCGGCAAGGAGATTGAGCAGAAGTATGACTGTGGAGAAGAGATCCTGGTATGCTGTTCTCTTCTCCCTTGTATGCTCAGCTTTGCTGTTTCTCCAACTTCGGGTATCTCCTAACTATCCTTTTTTCTTCTCCAGATCACGGTGCTGTCTGCCATGACAGAGGAGGCAGCTGTTGCAATCAAGGCCATGGCAAAATAACTGGCTCCCAGGTGAGTGACAAAGCCCCCACTGTCCCCCTTTACATATTTTGTTCTCATCAAATTTATTTCTGATCTTTTAATCATGCCAGGCTTGCTTTCTGTCTCCTGGTCCTGTTCTCTCCACCCTTGTTGAAGGTATTAATTATTCTGTTTTACTTGGTTTGTCTCTTACTCAGGGTGGCAGTGGTGGCAGCAGCGATCCTCGAGCCTGCAGAGGCCCCTCCCCCAGCCAGGTCCTGCTGTGGCTGGACCCTTGGCTGGACGACTCCTACACAATTTATTTGACGTTTTATTTTGGTTTTCCCCACCCCCTCAATCTGTCGGGGAGCCCCTGCCCTTCACCTAGCTCCCTTGGCCAGGAGCAAGGGAGCCATGGCCTTGGTGAAGCTGCCTTCCTTTTCTCCCCTTGCACTACAGTCCTGGTGGGGGAGAAAGGATGGGTACTGCTTGTGGTTTAGTTTTTTTTTTTTTTTTTTTTTTCTTTTTTTTTAAATTCAATTTGGAATCAGAAAGCTGTGGATTCTGGCAAATGGTCCTCGTGTCCTTACCCCCCACTTGTCCTTGGTCTGGTCCCCTATTCCCCCATAGCCCTTTCAACCAAGCACCAACCCTACAGAACAGGGACCAGCCCCCTCCCCTGCCTGTATCTCTCCCCAAATCCCTTCATTGGGGAGGGAAGAGGAGAGGGGAGGGGACCTGCCCCCTCCTCAGGCATCTGGGAGGGCCCTGCCCCTATGGGCTTTACCCTTTCCTGCGGGCTCTCTCCCCGACACATTTGTTAAAAATCAAACCTGAATAAAACTACAAGTTTAATATGAAGCCCCCCAAGTCAGCTGCTTATTTGAATTAAATGGGTATTTGTTGACTGGAAATAATTGGCAGAATAGACTTGTTAATCTACCAGCCATCCCCCCCACCCTCCAAGCAGCCTAGGCATATTCCAGACAGCTGGGTGGGAAGTGACACAAACAGCAGCAGCCAGGGGCAGTGGCAGGTAGATTTTATTGGCCTGGGACATAAAGGGAATAAAGACCCTCACTCATGGGGGATGGCGGGATGGGGTTGAAGACATAATTTGATGGTCACTTGTGGTAGAATCTTGGGTTCTGGCTGTGTTGGATGAAGGGGAGCCGAGGGCCAGGTTGGCTGGTAGTGGCAAAGCCTGACTGGATGGTGATGAAAGGAGGGTTTTGTCAGTGAATATACCCTCCCTTCCACTTAACACCCCTCCTGATACACACACTGAAGGAGGAGGGGACAACCAAAAAGTGTGAGCCACCTATCCTGTTTGCTTGGTAGTGTTGGGATATTGGTTACCATCCTTACCTTTCCTGCTGGTTGCATCTGCACAGGGAGCTGGGGGGAGGCAAGAAGTCCAGGGGCTGGATGCAGAGCCTGGGGGTGCATGGGGCGCAGGGAGGACTGCAGAGGACAAAGTTACCTGAAGCACACTGGGGATTCCCTTAGCCTAGCCCTTCCTCCAACCTCCCAAGGCCCTTTACTTACTGAGTCAGAGAAGCCAGTCTGCTGGTTAGCATGCTCCATCTGCTTTTGCAAGGACAGGGCACCACCAGGCTGGAGGAACCCTACGTGGGGAAGAGAGGTGTGTGAAAGAAGAGAAAGAGAATGAGGCAGGTAGGACCTGTGGAGCTAGGGGTTCCTGCCTAGGATATTATCACCTGTTTGGGTGGGCTGAAAGTGGCCATGCACGGCATAGGGCTGTGGCTGTGGCTGAGATAGGTACTGCACTGCAGGAAACGCTGAAGGCGCTGAGGAAGGGAGGAGGCATGCCCGTTAGAATTTCTTTTTGCTCTACCCTTACCTGTGGGCTTTCAGGAAAGCCACCCCACTCTTCCCATTACTCACCTCTGAGCTGCTGACTAGGACTATAGGCTGGCTGTGTGGGTCCATAGTGAGGTGGGGGCTGAGCAGTCCCATAAGCACCACCTGGACTTCCTTGGAATTGCCCATGCTCTGGAGTCCCTGGGAAAGCAGCTGCTGAGCCCACATAGTGCCGGGTCTAAGGAGGAAGGGAGAACTGATTGTAAAGTCCTTAAAAACAAACTCAAGGACTTCTGTATACATCGTTGCCCTACTTGCCCTTTCAATAAGTGCTTGGTTATGTTTGTGACTTGAACATTGGTGACCAGGATGCCTGGGATGAAGCAGTAAAGAGAAGAAATAGAGCTATACACTCAAATCCATTTTTCTCACCGTGAGTACTTGCGGTCCAAACATCTGTTTAGCTCTGTCAGCTGCCATGAGGGTGCCTGGGCGATTATGTCCTCCAGGGCTCCCTAGAAAGGGAGAGGGATTTTGTGATGCCTCAACCTCCAAGAGGAGCCACTTTCTGTCAAATGGTTTCTTTAGTCCTTACCCTGCATGCTGAGGAGGTGAGTTCCTGTGTGAACAGTCAGGCTCTGCTGGTATGCAGCTGATGTCAAAGTGGTCAGGTCACTGGAGTGAAAGGAAGGATAGGTGAAAACCAAAGGGCAGTTACCCCCTTTTTGCCATTAAACATTGATTCTTTTGTTTCCCAATCCACCTTATCCCAATTTTACTTTTAGCTCTCTGATCCGATCCCACCTCTGCTCCTTTCGCCTCCGTTTTTCTTCCTCATGTAAAACTTTCTTGAGCTGCAAAAAAAGTTGGTGCTTCTCTTCCTGTAGGGCCAAAAGCTTTTCCTGCAACTTGAGAATCTGGAAGGGAAGGGGAAAGGAGATAAGACAGGGAGAACCAAGGGAAAAAGCCAGAGCTTGGAGCAATCAGGGACAGCTTACTTGTTCCTTGGTCTCCTCTAGTGACATTCTCTCTTCCATCTCCTTTTTCTTTCTTCTCTCCTGTTCTTCCTTCATCTTCTGTTCCATCATCTTGTCCACCTCTTCCTCCTCTGGAAAAATCAGCCAAAATGAAGTGGCAGGGTGGTGAAACTAATGTTTTTTGAGACTGAAAATCAGCAAAGGCCACTTATCCCGCCATTATCCCACCACTTGTGAACTTGGCAGTAGCTCTCCAAGGTCCTACCCATCTCTGGCTTCTGGAACTTGGACCAGGCCTCTACTCCCACACTAATGGGGGGCTGTTCCCTCCCTCCCTCTAGCTTCGCCTGCGGGCGCACTGCTCAGCCCGTGGGTGGGGGTAGTCCTGGGGCAGCTGAGACACTTTAGCCAAGCGTATGTTCTATCGCTCTGGCCCCAGCTCACCCTGCCGCTTGCGCTCCCGCTCCATCATGATGTGCCGGTGCAGCGCCCTGGCCATGGCGTTGGAAAGCTTGGGACGTTCCAGGAGCGCGGGCATGGTGCTGTCGGGGGCGCTCGGACCGCGGGCGCCCGGCTCTGTCACTGACTGCCAGACCTCAGACGGTGCCTGCAGGGAGGCGGAAACTGAGCCGGGACGAGGCGGAAGCCTGTCGGTGCGGTCAGCTCTCCGACCGGGTCACGTGTTTCGGGGGCACGCAGCTCTGCCGGGTCACTGCCCCAGCGCATGATGGCCGCACAGGGTCCATGGTTCGGCGCCCCCGACCCTCCCTCGAACCCCCGGGGTATCGACCCCTACCTACTCACCTTCTAGATGCTCTCTCCGCGGCTTCTGGCGCGCCTTGGCCTTAGCGTCACATCCGGCGGCCCTAACGAATCCTTCCGGAGTCACGGCGGCGACCAGCCTTGCGGGTTGGACAGGAAGGAAATACGGAAGCGCGCGGGGACGGATGCCCGCGAGTCCAAACTCGGTTGTGGCAGCTGGGATCTGGGCAGGCTCCAGCTGCGTGCCAGCAGCCCTTCATTTCACCGGGCGGCCCTGGGACCGCGGGCTCTTGGGGGCGCGCGAGACAGAGGCTGAGGCGGATGCTCTGAGACCGTATTTATTGGCTCCTTAGAAATCAGTCGGTAACAACTGTACAGAGGGCCCGCGGCTTCCCCCGCCCGCCCTTCCTTCCCCACTCCCGCCCGATGGCCCCGGAAAAAGCAGCTTCGTGTGGGCTCAGGGAGAGACTCCTCTGGGATTCACAGTAACCAGAAACAAAAACGGAAATAAATTAAGTGATGTTGGGGAGGGGAGTAACAGGGAGTCGTGTTCCCCAAATCAGTGCATGAAGGAAGGACCCAGGGCCTGGAATGGGCTCCCCACGAGCTCCCTCTCGTTAGAGGAAGCTGTGCTGGACCCCTGGACATGGAGAGGTGCTCCACTTCCTTTCTGAATCTGTCCTGCGTCTGCTAGGACAGCACCTGTGCATGCCGTGAGTCACTGGAATGAGGTGATGGCAGTCATCACTCAGAGTCCAGGGCCGAGGCCCAACTGTGCTTGTAGTAGTGGTGTCTCACCCTTCATTCCACCCGCACCAGGAGCGCATAGAGGAGTGTGGCCCCCTTCTCCTTAGTGACCCACTCAAGTTCTGCTGGGCTGAAGTGAGGGTCAGGAGGTTCTCTGAGGGCAGCAGAAGGGGGGCCAGGGGTGTAGGAGCCAGGACGCACACACACCTGGAACGCCACCTGAGCCTGGTGCGTCCGCTGGGATTTGGGATCCCGGAATCTGTCAAAAAGTAGAAGCCAAGAGTGAGGCCTTTGGCCCCCTCACCATTCCACCTTCCTAACTGCTCACCACACAGGCCTGCTGTTCCTTGGAAGTATTCTCATCACTAAGTGCTAAATTCCAGCAGTTTTCTACTTGCAATGCTTTTCCTCCCCAAAGACTGCTTAGCAATCTCCTTCCCTGCCCTCCTCATAGCTTTGCTCAAACCTCACCTTTTAATGAACGCCTATCCTGACATCCTATTTAATATGCCCACTCCAAGCGCAATGCTTATCACTCCACTCTCCTTTTGTTTCCATACTACTTTTCACCCTTAAAAATCCTAAAGACTCATTATGTATAAACATTCTAGAGAAGGTAAGTTACAACAGAGTAAGGTTCCTTTCTCCTTCACTCAAATAGCATGTGGTAAGTGGTACCTTCAATGAATGAGTGAAGAAAGGGCTCAGGTGGAGGAGCAACTAACAAGCCAGGGTATGAGATGGGAGACAAATCATGAGGATCCAAGAGGTTCTAGGACCCCGTCTAGGTTGAAAACCCCAGAGCCACCCCCCCCCCCATCTTGTGTACTCACTGCACTTTGGAGGCTAGGGTCTCGGTCCCAGCATATTGAAGGGAGGGGGAAAGCAGCACTGGAGGGGGCTGCTCCTCCCGGGGAGGTGCACAGTTCTCACCAGGCTCCTCAAACCCCACCCCAGGTTCTCCCTTCAAGGGCCGGCAACTCAGGATGGAGGCAGTACCTGCAAGGAGAGCTGGGTGGGTCAGGATGGCCCTTGTGATTCCTCCCAGGGACCCCAAGCTAGGGCTTCCCTGTCCCTGCTTGCTCTACAGTACCTGCTCCCAGCTCCCCTCGGTCCAGCACTCTCCGTACAGCTGCCACATTGCTCCCATGATATGCCATGTGCCACTTCTTGGTTAGTGTCCCAGCTTCCAGATGGGGATTCACTCTAAGAGAACAAAAGCAGACAGGACAAAGGTCACTGGCTTCCCAAGGTCATTCCCTACTCAGGAAGTTCTACCAGTTTTTACATGCACCCGCTGGGACTCTCTTATGAGGGCAAAAAGCAATAGGGAACATGTATGGCTTTGGCTCATACATACCTGAGGTTGAACCTGCACCAGCCAAAGGGCAGGGCGTATTCCCGGGGAGGCTCCCCTCGGCGCCTGTGGGTCTCATCTCCTCGAAGCTTCCGACAAGACTCACAGTAGCACAGGCTACGTTTCGGCGGAGGTATGAAATAATCCTCTGTGGGACAGTGAGTGTCCAGCTTGGTGCTATGGTTCCCACCCTGGGTCCTGCTGCTGCCCTCCAGCTGGCCATAGAAATGAGGCAAATTCTGGGGGGCAGGGACTCACCAGGAAGCAGCAGCAGTTCTTGGAAGCGGGAGCAAAGGGCATGATACTCGCAACTCTTTAGAGGGCTAGCAGCAGGCTGTGGACCCCAGCACACGCTCTCTTTAATACCTGAGGGAATAGAGGGGCAGAGGTCACAGAAGCTGGGCTAGAAGGATTGGAATGGGGCAGGTGGGGGTGTAGGATCTTGGTCCCTTCAGGTTGGCACACCATCCACCATGTCTGCTTTTTCCATGTCCCCTTGGGTTCCAGCACTCTTTCCACTGGCAGCCCCTGGTTCAGGGCTCACAATTGTCACCTGTAGAGGAAAGGGGTGGTCAGCCAAAGCTTTCTCAACCCCCAAGGGCTGCTGATTTATGTACCTCAACTTCCCAGTCTCCCAGGCACTGCCTCCCCCATTGCCACTAACCTGCTCACACTGCCCATAGAGGTCCACAAGTGCATGACAAGGCTGGGGCACATCTGGCACAGCTACCCCATGGTCCACCCCATTGACATGGAGATGCAGTCCTCCAGAGCTGTCTAGCCGCAGTCCCAGGATGGTGCCTTCAGGACATGTGTCCAGATTTGGCCCAAACTTCTCACAGATCTGGGAGGAGAGACCTACTGTCTTCAGACTTCCATCACCAGCAGACATCCCACCTTTCACTCTGCTTTCAGTTTTCTGTCCCTGGGCTTTGTCTCCAACCTTGCTCACTGCCTAGGCTCTACCCCCACTTCCATAACTGTAATACTGTCAACTGCGTAGGAGGAAGCAGTAGGGCTGAGACTGACCAGATAAGGACACTCATACCCTTGCCCCTGCCCCCCACCAACTTCCACCCTCTTCGGATCTGCTATCCTACAACCAGGACTATGAGTTCTACTTCTTCCTTTTGTCCAACTCCTCCCTACTCAAGAGACCTGACCCTCTCTCTCTTCTCCCTCACTCACCTTGAGACCATTGTGGAAGACACCACGGCCCCGCAGTAGCCAGGCTGCCCGTTTGAGGGCACAAGCAGAAGCAGGGAAGTTGAGCCTCTCAGGTGGGCAGGTGATGACTCCCAGGACAAGGGAGGATGTCCACTGTCGGTTCAGGAAGTCTATCCGCACCTACAGGAGAAGGAACTACTCCACAATCACAGCCTTCTGGGCAGAGGCCACCTACCTGCACTGCAGAACAAGGATCTCACCCCAGCCAGGAAGGGAATATACTTCCAAAAGAGTTGCCTGGGCCACTGTCCTTTCTGATTCTTGGAGAGACCAGAAACTATAAAGTCATATTTTTTTAAATATATTTTTTTTTAGTTGTAGATGGACACAATATCTTTATTGGCATCCTCACACATGCCAGGCAAGCCCTCAACCACTGAGCTACAACCCCAGTCCCTCTCCCTCCCCTCTTTTTTTTTTTTTTTTTTTTAATATTTATTTATTTACTTTTAGGTGTAGATGGTCACAACACCTTTATTTTTATATGGTGCTGAGGATCGAACCTGGGTCCTGCCCACCTGTGCTAGGCGAGCACTCTACCGCTGAGCCACAATCCCAGCCCCCCTCTCTCCCCTCTTTAAGCCTTGGTCTTAGTATCACCTCTATAAGGATTCTTGCTACTAAGGGCTTCATTGACCTGGCTAACTTCTGACATATCTTTTGTTTTGCAGCAGAAAGGCCCTTTCCCGAGGGTTGTTCATGGCTGGAGCAAGAGGAGCTGGGAACATGGAGGCAGGGCACACCTGGACTAGCAGCTGGGGCACCAGGGGCTGGCTGATGACAACGATGCCCTGATTATAGCTGGCCACCCGTGTAGCTGTACGGTTTCCATTGGACAAGAGGATATTCTTCCCATGGTTCTCCAGGAACTCAAAGGCTGCAGGCATAATACCAACTTGATTCTGGCCCTGGTGTGGAAGAAGAGACAATGCTGCATGAGGGGCCAATGGCAGGCCTGATCCACCCCACTGGAGCATACACAGAGCTCAAGTGTGAGCCTCTGCCCTGCAATTGGAGAATCTGGTGTACAATGGCCATTAATTGGCCAGCAGCCCCTGCTGTAGCCTCTTACGCCCAGGCCATGATCCTCGCCCTCGTCATCCTCCTCGCCTTCACTGCCGGTGTCTGAGCTGGGGGAAGGAGGTTGGGTGCCTTCTGGCTCCTCCAGCCTTGTGGAACTGACAATGGACACACTGCGTACTGGCCCATATAGATCCAATACAGCCCACACGTTCTAGAAATATAAGACTCAGAAAGTCAGAGATCAGCACAAAGCTTCCACCCCAGAGCCCACTCTCAGGACCCAAGGAAGCTAGTAGGTGTACCTTGGCAATGCCAGTGGCTGCAGGCCCCATATCCTCTCCATCTACCAGGATGTGCATTGTGTCATCTGCTCCTCGACGAATGCCTACACGGCTACCCACCTAGGTCCAACGTGGGAAAAAGACAAATGTTCAGCCCACCTCTCTCTGACACTCCATTCCCAACCCCTCACCAGCTGCTCCAGAGTCAGGTGCTTCACCCCAAGTCTCTCTAGATTCCGGCCATAGTTCATCCTCTGGAGCTGCCCATCACGCCTCACTTCACAGCTGGAGACCATCCAGGTAGGCTTAGTCCGGAGCTCTGGCAGGGAAGGCGGCAGCCCTGGGCCACTGCCTGCTCCAGGTCCCATTTCCCCTGGTGCCAGTGTGGTCAGTCCTAGCCGGAGGGAACCTGCCCATTTCTCATCTAGCTCTTCCACTTTTACCTATGAGAAAGAAAACATTAGTTGGCTATGATGATGGGCCAGTAGCACCCCACCCATCTCCACAGCCCACC